CCAGATCTCACCATTGTTACAACTGCCATTCCAACGATAACGGATCACTTTCATAGTTTACAGGATGTAGGATGGTACGGCAGTGGTATGTCTAACCCACGGCTCCTTCTGCAGCGCAAACCTTGTGCTAACATGATGTTCCTACGCACAGCCTACCTCCTTACCAGCGCTTCACTGCAACTCCTTTTCGGCCGAATATACAGCCAGTTTACCATAAAATGGGTCTACCTTTCTTCCATTGTAATCTTCGAACTGGGAAGTTTAATATGCGGCGTGGCCAACCAGAGCTCAATATTCATCATTGGCCGCGCCATTGCCGGCGTCGGCTCCGCCGGTATATTCACAGGCTCACTTGTTATCCTGTCTCAGTCGGTACGCCTTGAGCGCCGACCGTTCTTCACTGGTATTATCGGGAGTATGTACGGCATTGCGTCTGTCGTTGGCCCGGTCCTCGGGGGCATCTTCGCCAATAAGTTAACATGGCGTTGGTGTTTTCTTATCAACTTGCCCCTGGGCGCTGTCGCCGCCCTCGTCATCATCACGCTCCTCGAGCCGACGCGGCATTCAGGCGAACAAGACACGAAAGCAAATCGCCTGAGGCAATGCGACCCTTTCGGCAGCGTCCTTTTCATTGCTGCTACAGTCTGTCTACTCCTCGCCCTGCAGTGGGGAGGCACGCAACATGACTGGAATAGCTGGCGTGTCATTCTGTTATTCTGCAGTTTCGGCATCTTGATACTCGTCTTTGTGCTTGTCCAGTATATCCGGCAAGAGTGTGCTACCGTCCCGCCACGCATCTTCCTTCAGCGGACTGTCTGGTCCTCTTCTCTCTTTGGCTTTTGCCTCGGCGGCGCGGCTCTCAGTTCCGTCTACTTCCTACCAATCTGGTTCCAGGCCGTCAAGGGTGTGAGCCCTGTAGTCTCTGGCTTCATGATGCTCCCTATACTCATAAGCTTTGCTCTTGTGTCCGTCCTCTCGGGTATTTTGGTCACAGTCGCCGGCTACTACACGCCATTCATGTTGGCTGGCACTGTATTCTGCAGCTTTGCGTACGGCCTGATGAGCACGGCTACCCCGGACACCTCCATGCTTACTTGGGTCGGCTATCAGATTCTCGCTGGTGCTGGCGCTGGCTTTGCGACGAACCAGTGTCTTATTGCTATTCAGGTTGTCCTCGACACGGACGATATACCTACCGGTACTGCTCTCGTATTCTTCTTCCGCATACTCGGCAGTGCCATCTTTGTCTCCATCAGCGACTGTGTCTTTACAAACAAGCTCAGGCAGCTCCTTTTAGTAAATGTCCCTAGCCTAGACCCGGATGTCATTCTCAAGGCGGGCGCCACCAACTTTCGGGACGTTGTCTCTCTTGCTGACCAGCCGGCCGTGCTCGCGGCATACAACGGGGCTATTAGTAAAACTTTTATTGTGTTTGCTGTCATCTCTGCTGTAGGTATAATGGGTGCATTGAGCGCGGAGTGGAAGAGTGTCAGAGCAAGCAACGAGTCATCAAAAGTATGATGCCCGCTATATATGTAATTGAGGTTCAATAATTGTCATAATTCGATAAAGTACATTTCTTTCTACGAAATACTGTCGGCTATACATGTCTTCTTAGTAACCATCAACTGGAACTATGATCGGGAGCGAGTCTGCCACAGCAAAAAAGCAAGAAAAAGAATAGAAAACAGCAGAGGAAAAGTATACCAAGACCCCACCACTTAGAAGGCCCAATTCGTAGTCCTTCCAACATATACTCGCCCATCGACACGACCTTCTCACCATCGTTCTCTTGCCCGGAAGCCCAGTACATCCCTATCCCAATGGCCACGGCAACCCACAATCCTGCCTCCAACTTGCTAACTCTAGATACCGTATCATTCCAATTGAACGTTGTAGCAAGAAGCGTGTCGAGGTGTCCGTCGAGATGTCTTCGCTCCCGAAGGAGTTGCCAGGGAGCGGAAGCACCAACCGCCAGAGCGGTGGATGTCGACATCGAACCAAGCGACATGTTGCCTTTGCATGGTGAGTCATTGAACTTATCCCTAGTAACCGCAAACTGTATTTAGCCTCGAGAACCCCGTATCCGGGCTTGCGTATGGAAATCGGCATGCATCTTGCCACAACAAGAAAGATAAAAACCGCCAACTGAAGAAGAAGAACCAAGATTGCGTTGCGTCGGAATTTCTGTGGAAGCTTGATTTCTATTGTTCTTGGTACTTCTTTAGCTTGACTTTCAGTCTCAGTTTCCTCATCGCTTCTTGCTTCCTCGGTACGATCTTCCGAATACACCATGATTTCCAAAGTCGGCTACAAGATGCAGATTTGATGCGGTAAATTTGGAATAGAACAACCCTGGGAGGTTTTATGATGAGAAAGGGGGCAACTCAGCAACCTGAAGTGAATAAATGTTGGCAACTTTACGCCTCAGGACCGCCTTGGTTGGAAACCCCGTGGAAATGTGTAGTTTTCATGATTGATGTGCCCGTTACAGAGCATATGATTGAGGACGACATGGCCGCTTTTATGACTACGCTACAATCCTCTGGAGCAGACGAACCTAACACTACTACTGGTGCAAGACGTCTCACATGCAGGCGCTTAGGTGCATCCGACAAACTCCATTCAACTGCTACTCGCGACCCCCGGAATAGAACGAGGCCGAGCCTGGTTTCAGCTTTCAGAGTTGTCATAATTCCACATGAAAAATGATAGGTCCGTAGATGCATACTGCAACACCTCGCTCGGTGAGCCCTCGTACTGCCCACCATCTTGGTAGCTCGTGAAGCAACTTCAAGGCCTAGAACTCTTGCCACGGATGGCAGCCGGCTTTAATATTAGAAGAGAAATCAAAAAGCTTTAAATTAACATAAGGCTCTTTCTCTCCTGTCTAATCGTGCTGGCAATCCTGAACTTCCTTGAGGCGAAGTCGGCTACGTGGCTCTTATCACTGGGCGTGACATGCCCAAGTCCACAGGCTGGAGAGTTGTCGTTTATTTTGAGTTGGTAAATTAAGGGTAGTTCCTGAAACACCATATTTCTTGAGATGTTTAAATTCCCGAGCCAAGGTTGGCTATTGTTGGAGTGGAAAGCACAGTTGTACAGTTGTAAGACGGAATAGTTATGCCTAGTTATACCTAGTTATACAAAATCTTCATATCTAAACCGCCAGCCCGTTACGACTGATGTTGTACGATCCCCGCTGCCAAACTGGAAGAACCAACTCGACTCAACCTGGGTCGGGCCGTCGTCTCACGTCATCTTAACCCTTGCCAATGCAGGTGTTACACGGAAACTGCTGGTTACACAAGGGCTACGGTCACGGGATTAGGGCAGAAGGCCCTCACCGACTTCTTGTATAAATAGACATCTTCGGTCCCTCAAGGCCTTGAGGAAAACCAAGGACCTTTGATACCAAAGACTGTTATTAGATGAATTGAGTAATCGCTCCAAGCCCTCTATTGAGCCCTTGTCACAGCAGGCTTCACGACTCAGACATACAGTACATATCAAAGGGTTCCAACGGCCTCAACCCAATGAGTCAGAAGGCTGGTGAAACACCAGGATTGCATTACTGACAATTCCGGAGACCTCAATTCCGTAGCTAGATGGATTCGACCACGGACCAATTCATTCAACCATTCCATTCGGTTTACATATACAACTCATAATAAAGCACTTGGTCTTTACCAGTTTAGGGAAACCTGTCCCGTCCTATGATGCCCCGTGTCAGGGGCAAGGGCAATGCCACGGCTTCAGTGCTTGGTAGTCGGTGTTACCAAAGGCTTGCAGAATGTGTGTGTCATTTCTCCTCCAGATAGCAATTTTCTTCTGCAGCAAACACGAGGCTGCAAGGCAGAAATTGGTGTTGCCCGAATGTTTGACACGTCAGGACTAGCCGTGCCGCCGCGTATGCGCCTTGTTGATAACACGGAAGCAGGAATTGTGCGCGAGTTTCTCGGAGTAGGTATAATTACTAGTTAATATTAGTTCACCTGTTAGCAATAGGAAGCAATTCAGTCTATATTACTACTTACGTGTCATGACTATAGGGTTATTGACCAGGCGTAACAATAAGTTGCAGCGCCATGGCATTTCTCCATCAGCATGGAGTCTGTCACGGCGGAAACCCCAGTTCCTTAAACTGAATACTAGCCTCAGCTGACTGATGAGCATATGATGACAGATCTCACTCTCCTTAAAAGGTCTTATTTCACACAATCCTTCGGATATCGAGATCCTAATCGGTACTATTGTGAGTTATCTCGGTCCGACACTCCGTCACTGGCGGGCAAGGTTTAATTTCGAGGAATGCGGAATACGGCTACTGCAAGCCGGAACAAGTACATGAAACAACAGAACCAGACGCAGTGGTTTGAGGATAAACACATAGAAGAGACGATTGATAGCCAGATTGCTCAGGAGTCAGTACATCTCTCAGCCCGTCAACGGGACGAGTATGTCCGCTTGCTCGAGGATACGTTTACATACAACCCCGAGAAGCGCCTCTAGGCGATGGATGTAATAGGTCACCTGAGATTAGATTAGCCTCATTCTTGAGCGAGGAGTCGAGGACTCAAGCGACCCAGCCACATGTTTGTCAAATACTTGTAATGGACCCTTATAGTGTCATCACCACCCTGCAATCAGACCGTTGACAACTCGCAATCAGTTCTGAGCCTGACGCTGCCTTTTGTAAAACCGCTGCATGCGAACAATGCAAGTCCATCATATGCCTTGGTCGACGCGCGACTATAGTGTGTAATGCGGAGTTCTCTATAGTATTTGCTATATAGCAATTGAAGGTTGAGAATTTAAGAAACTTCGTTTTCTCTACAATGGCAACTCAACTGCTCAAGTTCGTAAGAGACCATCTTTCCACCGGCGCTTCACTTCAGCAAGGGAGAAGGATTGTTGAGAGTCCAACCCCCGACACCAACGGAATGCGATTACGATTATCGGACTATTAATAGCTTCATTATATATTTCGAACACACAACTCATTGCACTCCCTTTTTACATCCAAGCTTCTCTGCACAAAAGCCAGGGAACTCCTCCAGTGTTTTGCCCATGAAGCCCCATGGCGGGTCACAGCCATTGCCGCCAGCCTTCTTGTTCTCCGGGTTGAACAGGTAGAACCAGCCTAGAATTTTATGAGAGTGAATACTAAGCATTTCGCCATAAAAGGAGACGTACCGTTTCTGCACCAGCAGTAGTCCGGGATACAGCATGGCTCATATGCCCTAGGCGCGTGTCAGCTTTCAATGTTCTACTACAGGTATGGATCTAAAGGGGACTCAGACGGCCATGGGGTGCAGCCGCTCGCAGATGACAGAGCTCCGGTGGCGAGACGCCCTGTTTCCTTCTCCGGAGGGGTGGGCTTGGCCGAAGCCACGGCCGCAAGAGCGCCGAGAGAGGAAAGGATATGGCCGCTCTTCATTCTTCTTGAGATGTATCGTAAGCTTGTGCCAAGTGAGATGGATCCGGGGATAAAGATAATAAAGAAAGAAAAATGGCTTCTAGCATTGCGTGGACAGGGGAATCCCTAAATACTTATTCCTAGCATAAAACGCGTTTTTGACTCGAGGTAGCTGTCAACAACATCTATTTCCCATTACAGTAATTCACACGGGCCTCTTGTCCACCTGGCGCATGGAGCTTGTCATAGCTCCCTCTGTGCTTCTAGTTTCGCGATACCTTCTGCTCTTTGTCTTGAAAGGAAAACAATAGGGGCCGTGATCCGGGGTAGGGTCTTATAGTCGGTCCAAGCTCAACGATAGTTTGGGGGCTCCATGTCAGAGAAACGACTAGTAGTTGGCGAATGAAAAGAATGGAGTCATCTAGGCCTTTGCGATCATTGCCCATGGGGATGGCCAGCTATCTCTGTCACGTTTGAGATGCCTACTTGGGCCTCGCGAATTGATCTCACTGAACAATATGATAGCACGACATTACGCAACGCGACGCCAGAGAGGCTTCATGCTGCTAGGATCCCCGAAAAATTGTGTGGCCGAGTCTTTCCAGGTCGTTTGCTTCCAGCATGAATCCTTAATCCCATTGTCAAGACTAGACAGATCGCGAGTTATGAACAATGAGCCGACCATACTCTCGGTCTCCTATGTAAGAAACAGAAGTAGTTTTAGACTGGATAGGCATGGTGAAAAGTATCATATCTCTAAATAGTCAATGGTGATGCGAGAATACAGGTTCACGTGGGCCTGAATGCTGCTTCTCGCCAACGAAGTTGCCGATTTTTCCCAGGGCTTGGCGAGATACCTAGGTGGCTCGTGTATAGCACAATGTTAGCCGTGAACACTGCAATGGAGATGCCAAGTACTCATAGGCGAGGACAGATTCCAGCCATGCACAAAACCAACATGGAATTAGCTTGGGCAGCGTATCCAGGTTGGGACGGTCAGTCGTTGGCGTGCTTGTAGTCCCTCGGCGCCCAGGCATCAGAAGGGACTGGCTAGGGACCTAGGGTACTCCGTTGGAGTGTAGCGACGTAAAGATGGCGGACAAAGCAATTGATGGATTGCCGGCAACCGTGTCAAAGCTGGCTCATGGAATGCTGGCGCCTTGGTGCATGAAACATTGAACGTGGTGAGTCCCGGCGATTCGGAAACAAGATCGAGTGCATTTGGTGACTGGTCAACTGTCTGGTCTGGTCTAGTCAAGTCTGGACTTGGACTGGTGCTTGTGGAGCCGGCGACAACCAATGTTAACTCCGGCTGGCCGTGATGCACACCAACGCTTAGCCCCGCCACTGAGTAATGCTCAAGGCCAGCATCTGCGTATTCCGTGGATGGCGTCACTGCTACACCGACCTCTACCCTTCAATCGCACTCCATCAGCATCAGCAGTGGTGCCGTCTTTGCGCGCTTGCCATCCATCATATCCAATCTAGCCAATATTGAGAATATACCTGTACATATACCCGTTTACTTGCTCCTGCTTCAACATCGTAAACCATCCTTGTATCCTCGGATCTAGGAGTTCTGGAGCCCTGCGAGAGGGACCTCACTCGCCTTTCACAACCCGTTAAATAATCTATCCAATACCTGCACCGGCTGCTGAAGCCATCTTCCGATTTTTCGGCAACCGAATTTGTCCATGGATCTGAATGATCCTGATCGGAACTCAGATTCCTCAGATCCGTCTCAGCAACCTGATCCAGACGAGGGCAGTGCTGGGGATACAGCCAGCTGGTACTATGATTTAGACGATACGGCAGATGATGACGATCCGGACTACAGAGATGAACCCGACGAGGACGAGGACGAAGATGACGATTTTCAAGGTATGTGTGGAAAATGAGCAACGTGACATCCGTTCTTTCTAATATTCTGCGGGTTCTCTGGGAAGTTTGGTTACTAATGCATCGCTTTTCGCAGATGCATTGACTCATGAGGTAGAGTTTGAATTTATTATTGGAGGAGGCGGCGATGACGATGGAGAGGAAGACGAGGACGGGCATGATGAAGATGAGGGTGACGACGACGACGACGCGAATGATGCGGTTCGACACATCATGTCTCTCTTTAGAGGTGCGCTCCGCTGCTTACACTCGGTCAACGTATTTGTGCACTAACATCACCTTAGAAGGCGGAGGATCGGGATTGCTCACGAGAACTCAACTCATGGCCCTCTTGCGTAATCGTGACCTCACCAATGTCCTCTTCAGTGAAAACGCCGAGGACGAAGGCATCCTAAGTCACTGGGGGATCCGCAGACGACGTCAGCCCAAGGATCCTAATCGGTTTCCAAAAGTACCCAGTGAAGAAGGACTCCAGCTCATGCGTGCTGGTGCTTTTGGTACAAACGACTATGAGCTCCGCATGCGAAAGCACATTGCTAGGCGCATGTTGGAGAGAGAGCTTGGCGTCGGAGACGACGAAGAAAGGCGACGAAATGGCGACTTGATAACTCAGGTACGTTTTTTCGTTACTTCGGCTATCGCCAGAACCCCAATGCATCGTCGCTCACGTTGTCGATAGGCAATGATACCGGGAACGAGGACCGAACAGATCATTCACTACGACGACCCAGTCTATTCTGGGCAGTTCTCCGACGATGGCAACTTCTTCTATTCATGCTGCCAGGACTTCAAGGTTCGCATGTATGACACATCCAACCCATACAACTGGAAACATTACAAGACAGTTTCGTATCCCTGGGGCCAATGGACTTTGACCGACGCATCGCTCAGCCCAGACAACCGCTGGCTGGCATACACATCCATCCAGAGCATGGTGTCAATCGCCCCAACCGACCCGAATGACACTGGAGACCCCTATACTCTGGAATTGGACGATGGCCGCGGCAGACCGACCCAATGGGGTTGGAGAAACCGCGGAGGGTTCGGTATTTGGTCTATTCGGTTTTCAGGCGACGGACGAGAGCTCGTCGCGGGCACGAGCTCGAACTCGCTTGTGGTATATGACATCGAGTCGCGTCAAGTCCTACATCATGTCGACGGACACGATGACCATGTAAATGCTGTCTGCTTTGCAGACAAGTCTTCACCACACGTTCTATACTCTGGCTCTGACGACGCCACGATAAAGGTGTGGGATCGGAGAAGTATGGGAGACGGACGAGAAGCCGGCGCGTTTGTCGGTCACATCGAGGGCTTGACGTATATTGATAGTAAAGGCGACGGACGATATATTCTGAGCAACGGAAAGGATCAGAGCATGAAACTGTGGGATCTGCGAATGGTCATGTCTACCAACCGGTTTCGGGAAACCGAACCAGCTCAGTACAGCAACACTAGTGGTTTCGATTATCGCAGAGAATTATACGATGACGAGGATTGGGACGTACATCCTCACGACAACTCTGTCGTGACTTTCAGGGGCCACAAGGTCTTGCGAACTTTGATTAGATGCCACTTCTCGCCGCCTTCTGCGACCAACTCTCGATATGTGTACTCGGGTAGCGCCGATGGGAAAGTCTACATTTGGAACATGGACGCGACTCTGGCGGGCAAGATCGATGTCAAGAAGGCGACAATGGGGACGCGCCGCGTGGACCGCCATACACGACTGTATTTCGAGGAACCCACTGGTTGGGGTACGTGTGTGCGTGATGCAAGTTGGCATCCGAGTGCTCCTGTCATGGTCGGTAAGTGGCTCTTGCTTCTCCGAAGCTAGGCTTAAAATTTTAAACTCGTGAGGGACAATGCTAACTGGAGCACCAAAGCGTCGGCCTGGAATGGGTACAGCATGGCTCGGGGTACGTGCACTTTGCATGCATTTAATGAGTCTTCTGATGACGAGGGAGAGCCTGAGATGCGCCGGAGCGTGGACGCCATGTTGAGGCCTAATCCAGATGTATACCAAATGTCAAACTACTAAATGGGTATAATGAGTGCACATACATACTATTTCATCGGTAAATATAGCTAGGCATTTGGTGTTGAAGGCTTTGATCATCTTGTCGAGGATCTGATACGAGACCAACGATGGATCAAAAGTCATTCAGGTATGACGGAGAAGTCAAGTGATCCTGCCCAAAGGCCCTTTATAGTATCCCGAGATTCGTCCCAGGAGCCTGTCCGCCATCTCTCACATTGACAGCGGGATAGTTCTTCCTAGGATCGTTGATGCAATTCGGCGCATCTCTGTATGGGGAAGGGGGGCAGTCGTCATCACCAAGTCTCAATCTCGTAAGCAAACGTCACCGAAGAAACCCCAAGTCACCTATCTAATTCCTTGAATCTGCCTGTTGTGCAATCTCATTCGTCACACATGCACAAGCACCTGCCACGTAGATGGCCTATTGTTGCGCACCTCATTTGCGTCAAATGGTGGCTGAGACAGCTCGAGCCTCAGTACACCGCCATTCGTCAGCATGTGTGCTAAGCCCTCGGGGGGTCGCGGCCAGATTCGTCTGCCGCTGTTGGTATGGCAATTCAACAATAGGCAACAGAGGGTTTCAACGCCCAAGACAAACCAACCGTTGACGTGTGATGGGTCCGTGATGAGGTCGCGTCCTGTCGCACAGTGATGCACTGATGATGCCCGTGATGATGCATTGATGCCCGTGTATAAAGCAACACTGAATCCATGGCGAAAACAAATCTGGGAAAAGAGACACGCTAGCCGATCCAAGCAGAAAGATTCAATTCTTTTGCGATGGTGACTATGATTCCGTGTCTCCTTTTTCTTGCTGGACTCCCTGCAGCCCTCGCCCATGTAGGAGGTCATTGCCCGCCAGCAGGCCCGGTCCTACCGCCGCCGGAACTATCTGCAAGACTCGACCTGTCCAAACTCGATTCTCAGCTCGACAGTCTCGTGAGAAACGCGCCGAGGTCCTTCAATGCCACCGAAAATTCATTCTCTATACTACTTAGTTCCAGAAATGCCACTGTATACCAGTATCATCACACGGCTGCGGTCCGGGACCCGTCCGGCGTCAACAAGGTGGATGGCGATACAGTGTACCGGCTCTGTAGTGTTACGAAATTGTTCAATGTGTTGACGGTGTTGTTGAATGCGAGGGATCTTTTGGACACGCGTATTACCAAGTATGTTCCCGAATTGGCGGGAGACCAAGTGTACGAGGGTATTACGTTGAGGATGCTGAGCAGCCAGGTGTCTGGGTTGCCGAGAAGTGGTGAGTCGGCTCCATCATGGCAACCGTGTGCCGTTCCATGATATATCATCCCCTTCTCTTAGAATAGAGGTGGTTGAACTAACTTTTCTACTAGGTGATGCATTTGACCTGGCCAGTACAGACGCCAAGAGCTGGGAAGATGCCGGCTTTCCGGTTCCTGCCAAGGGGGATATGCCACCGTGCGACGTGATCGGAGGAGAAGTGTGTAGTCGTGCTCGTATGGATGCCACCGTCCAAGATTTGCCAACATGCTTGCTGACCTTTGAGAGCAGAGTTTTTTGAGAATCTCAAGAGCAACCAGTTGATTTGGCTGCCCGGGGCCAAGACGGCGTATTCGAACCAGGCGTACACCCTTCTGGGGATGGCTATGCAGAATATAACGGGAAAGACATTCGCTCAACTCCTACGGGATAGCGTCACGACGCCCCTTGGCATGCCACTTACTGGGCTGAGCACGCCCGATAATTCACGGGGCATCATTCCGAATGGGGCAGGCAAAGCCCTTTGGGACCAGGACATGGGGAATTACAATGCGTACGAGTGCTCACTGCCCTCTCCGAAACGCACCGTGTACTGACTGCGTCAAAGGACCGCCGGCCTTTTCTCGACTCCCAATGAGCTGGGCAAGTTTGTCCGCGGCATCATGAACCACGAGCTTCTGTCTGCCGCGAACACAAGAGAGTGGATGCGCCCAGCTAGCTTCGCTGGCTCATACTCCATGTCTGTTGGCGCGCCGTGGGAAATCTTCCGCGTTGCTCATCTCACGCCTGATCAGCGACCCATTGACATCTACACCAAGTCGGGTAGCATGCCCGGCTGGGGGGCATACGTATTTTTTGTACCCGACTACAATGTCGGAGGCGCCATTGCTGTTTCTGGAGATGATGGAGATGCGGCTAGTTTGGCACTGCTTGACATGGTTGCCGCTACATTCGTTCCGGCTGTCGACACTCTGGCAAGACAGCAAGCCAAAGCAGCTTACACGGGACAATATGGTGCATCGTCCAACGACAATAAACGCATGAATGAAACAGCCCATCTCGAGCTAGTCATTGACCAGGGGCCGGGATTGAAGGTCAAGTCATGGTTCAACAACGGAAAATCCATAATCAAGGCCATCGCAGATCATAAGGGAGTCAAGCCGGAGGGGATGGATCTTCGACTTTACCCAATTGGTGAGAATAACAGATGGCAACTGAGCGTTGAGACGCTAAAGCGATGGGTTAACGTGGCTAGGAAGCCGAGTGACGCTTGTTCGAATTGGTTTCAAACCGATTCCATGCGCTGGGCGACGCTGCCGGTTGATGAGTTTGACTTTGAGGTCACCAATGGACGGGTAGTTGGGGTTCGGAACCTGGGTTTGAGAGCAAATCTCAGCAAGATCCACTAGGTGCCAAAGATATATACGAGTTACCACTCAACAGTGCGAAGTATGTTGTCGTATATCATTGTATGACAACCAATGGCCATGTACCGGGTCTGGTGAAATACCTACCTGGGTACTTTCGCCTTCCACCGGAGCTGGGGAAGCTTGAGCACCACCATGATAGCGTCCGGGGTCCAAGAAACGTTGCACTAGTCAGCCCATCAAAATGATGTCATCGCGATGGGGAACGTCTGCCAAAGAAGAAGAAAAAGCGATCTATTTACGTCGATTTCCCATCTGCTGCCAAACTTTGTGTCCCGTGATGCTTGCGTTCTGCAGCGGTTGCAGGTTCCAGTGCCGCGCGAGCCCCCATTGAATCCCACCGTACGCCAGATGGCGGCGGAACAATAATGCTCCGTCACCGATGACGAGTAGCCTGCCTGCCCCAGTAAGCTTCACCAGCTGTCATGGCTCGTGCGCCGCCTTTGCAGCCTCGCCTTCGGACGGAAAGCTCCTCCAGAACTTCGCCTCTTTCCTCCGTCGCCCTTGTCACCTGCTCGTCATCCGCCATCCACATCGAGTCGATCAAGGTGCATTCAACGACCAAGTGGGAAGATTCGATTATTTCCACCATTGATTTCGTTCCGAAACCTGCCATCGTGACGCTTACGACGCGATCGGATTGATGGTCCTGCTGCTGAACCGCAAGAGGTGATCCGCGTTACAGCACCAACGGCCGAAAGAGGATCACGTATTTCTTGCAGGACTGTAGTATCTGATTCTAGACGATTGAGGTCTAGGAGATATTCATAGGAACGGGTTATTGGTCCGCATTGCCTGTACCATTCCAGGAACGGATTTGTTCACCTGGTCTCGTTGGGTTGATGATTGAGAACTACCAGGGACTATATGATACAGGAGTCCGTCTTCTAAGCTGATGCGATTACTTTGTTCTTTATTAATTTTCTACTACATTGTACGTATTAGAGCTTTTGTATCTCTCACTTTTTTGCTCTTTCTTTTCTTCTTTTTTGTCTTTTGCAGTCATCTTCCTCTATTGGCGGTTCTGGTTTCTTCGTTTTGTACCTAAGCCTCCCTTGATTTCCGAGGTAGTAACGATCACTTCGAGACTAATAAATATGATTACGAAAGACCAAGGGCCTCCTCACACCATCACTCGATTACATAATAAGGTCATAGGCAGCTGCTGTTCCGTCGATTCATACTGCCTGCAAATAAGCATCGCTCTGCTCTCTTCGGCTTGCGTATTTCAACATGGCGGAAGCTGACTTTGAGATCGACTTCTACGGAGATACTGCCACCGACCAGCAGTCGGAACACCAGGATGGAAACCAACACAACGAAAGTGACTACCAAGGCCATGACGAAACCAATGGAGGAGATGAACATACGGACAGCCACAAAGGCCATCACGATGACCATCACGAGCAAGCCGAAAGCCATACCCATCAACAAGGCATAAAACGAAAGTCAGAAGAGGATGACCGACCAGTTGATCCAGCAGCCACTTCTGCACTTATGGTCTCAGAACTGAGTTGGTGGACCACGGATGATGATATTCGAGGGTGGCTTCGGAAAGCAGACGGCGAAACCGACATCAAGGAGATGACATTTAGTGAGCACAAGGTAAATGGAAAAAGTAAAGGGTAAGATGATCCAATATGTAACACACGTTCTAAAGTGAGGAGCGACCCGCTCACAAGTCTTGCAGACAAGCATATATTGAGTTCTACTCACGCCAAGCCGCCACGTCGGCAAAACGTTGCATAGATCAGCTAGCCAACGATGGTGGCCAGTCTTGGCAGAAGAAGTTGTTGCCTACATATTGGAACTCGGCAGTGAACCCTTTCAGAACGCTGCCCAAGGATGCCCCAGCACGAGGAGTGAAGGAACAGCCGAGAGCCTCCCCGCCAGGCCCCTATGCCGAACGCGGCAACTACAGTGGAGGTTACCGCGGCCGTGGAGGATTTGGCAACCGAGGAAATATGAACCAGGGCAACTTCAACACTAACCGCAACTATAACAACAGCAACATGGGATTTAACAACAACATGGGCGGTGGGTTCAATGGCCCCATGGGTGGTAACTTTGGCTTCAACAACCGCGGTAATATGATGGGTGGCGGCATGCGCGGCGGGCCTGGAGGTATGAGAGGTAATCGTGGCGGCGGTAACATGATGGGAATGAACCCCATGGGCGGTATGCCGATGGGTATGCCCGGTAACATGGGCATGATGGGCATGGGCGGTGGGATGCCAGGTATGTGCACAATGTCTCTCGCCAACACGCTCTATATTTCAAGTCACGCTCTAACCCGCAGCAGGCTTCCAAGGCATGGGTCCCAACTTTGGAGGTGGCTTCGGTTTCGGCCAGAACCAAGGCGGTGGTGGCGGCGATTGGGGTAATCCGCATGGAGTGAAGCGTCCTCGACCAGAGTGAAGAGCTGCTGGTCGTCCAAACTGCAGGGGATCACGTTAACTCGTCATGAAATCGCTCCGTGTACAGCAACGGGTAGGATAATATACGCACAATTTTTTGGAGGCCTCGGGACTAGCTGCATTCATGTACTATAGACAAATTACGGACAGGTTGCTACGGAAATGGCGCGAATAGCGTTGGATGGGTTTGTTTTAATGGCATCTATTCAAAAGGGAAAAAAAAAAAATTCACCATCTGTCACTGCCTGTCTGGACATTCAACCAGCTGTGTGAACGTGTCATCTTCGACTCATGTCCTCAATTACGGAGCAAAACATGGCATTTTTATTGCAGTCTCACTATGGTGGCGGTAACCAGTTCACCCATCTGCAACCACCTCTCTCTTAAAGTACTCCTCGAAACCTCGTTCCCGGCAGTACACCGCTCCAGCTCAGTCAATTTGCTCCTCAGGTCCCTGTCGCACGCCCTCAAAACCTGCACCAGCTTGTCGTTGACAGCGTCCCGATCCACATCCTCGTCCCTCAAGCCGTCGAGCACGTCTCTCCACTGGGTATACGAGCAGCACAGCATGCGCAGCGCCGTGTGCGTCCTGTAGCAGGCCGTTTCCGAGTCGAGCATGTACCTGCCCCAGAAGCCGGTCTCTTCCAGCTCCGCTTTCTGTCTCTTCGTGAACAGCGGACACAGGTGGTCGTCTAGGCAGATCTCGTCCCAGGGGTTCGTGGCCCCCGGCAGCGTGAAGCCGTATTCTACCAGCAAGAAGTCATTGGAGTGCGAGCCGTACCGGATAAACAGCTCGTCGCCCTGCTCGACTGGGTGCGTCGTGGTGATGGTGAATGAGGCATCGTCAAAGGCAACTTTACACCCGTCGGGCGAGTGGTTGAACAGATCGGCGACGGGCTGGAGAACCATGTGGTCTGCCTTGGGGAGCTTCTCAGTCGCCCTGGTGACGTGGTAGAATGTTCGGCTGTTGACTAGGTGCCACGAGTAGAGGAATTGGCTCCTGGATATGGAGGGGTACGCGGCCGTGATAAGGGCCCAGTCCGTGTCAAACTTGGTCTTTTGCTTGGCAAGGAGAGCTTTTGCGTTGGGAGGCAGGAGATACTGTAGCTCCGAGGGCCAGCTTAGCGGCATGCAGGTCCTGATGTCGTCTTCCGTGGGGAATACGGCTCTCCATGTGGCGAATTCGGGGTCGGTTTCTAGACAGAGGGATGTGGCGAGGATGGCGTGGACGGTTGACCCTTTGAGGCTGTGGAGGATGGGTTGGGGGGTGTTTTTCAGAGTCCTGAGCATGTTTACTGGGACTGTAAGGATGTCTTCGCCGGTCTGTGGGATGCTTAGCTAGAGTTGGATGGATCATGGGGGTAGGGGAGATGAAAGACCTTCAAGGCGCGAGTTGCGACGATACCTATACCACGGCCTGGAAGCGGTTTAGGGCCGATTCCGTTGATGGTTACGCCCTTTTTCTCTGCCCAGTTGAGCAGGCGCTCGATTTCCTCCATTTTGAGTAATGGGTGAGACTGCCCGTTTGGCAATGGCGTCGAGGTCGCTTCTTTCTGTTTTCCCTACAGAGTGTTGGATGTTCCTGGTAGGAATTTTAGGCAATGGCATGAGTGAGCCAATGGCTTCAAGAGGTTGAATATAACATGGTTGTAGGACATGTGCGCTGTGCAGCCTTTTGAGGGTGATGTATAAAATTGGAAACGCTTAGCGTAAGCTCTCAAAGTGAGGTTGAAGCACACCATGACTCCATGAGCATCGAGTAATGGTGGAAGTGGGGAACCAGTCGAAATCATCAGCTCCAGGCAAACAACTCACAACAAGATGCAACAAGACGTCGACTGATGCCTGGCATCCAACGTGGCGAGTCGCATTGTTTGCCCGAGTTCTTCATAGTGCTAGACAACAATGAGGAGTTGACCCAAACGAGCTTCAGCCTAATCGACCATTTCGCCTCCCTCCCAACACCTAGCTTCATCTCACGCAATTTAAAGCGGTCAAAGTAATCACCTGTAGAATGGCGCATTTGCCAGTCCTAAGTCTGGCGGTGCCAATGCAATGCCAACGCGCTATCACGCAAAGCAACGTAATCTGGTGTGGTAAAATGAAGAGCTCTGCGAGCCTTGATGAGCCGAGAATTACGTTGAATCGATGGTGTATTATAAGACGAATCGCATGGTCTCTGCCTTAGAGAGGGTTGTGAATGGTGTTGATTTGATGCATAGCCGCGGACATGTGAAGTGCACTGGTCCGGAATGACTTAACCAGCGATACACAAGCTTGTTTGTTGAGAGCTAGTACATGGTAACAGCAAAGTACCGGAAGATTGACGGGTTGTAAATCGCATGACTTGGAGATTGCATCGTGCGTCGGCGCTTTGCGAGTTGTACAACCAACACAACACCGACACTTTGGTCCGTACACACGGCCTTCCGAGACTCACGCAGAGATAGAGAGCCAAGACGCTCTACGCCGCTGTTTACTTGAAAGCATGACAAGGATCAAGACGTCTGGAGGCATTGGTGTTGAGGATAAAGGTCACTGCGAGGAACTCATGAAGGTAACTACTACTTGGACCCACCAAATAGGAAAGCGTCTGGTCCCATCGTCGTTCCACCAAGGCACCTATGTACTAGGCTACATCTTCTACATGAACTTCCGTCTCACAACCTCTGACGCTGGTATAATCGCCAGCTTCCCAATTCGACAATTAAATGGATCTGGCATTGCGACGAGCTCAGCCAGCTACGACAGCTCGCCATGCTGTCCGCGCTCTAACATGCGCAAGCTGTTCGCAATCCAACCGTAGACAATTCTCGGTGCTGAACCGACCAGCGCCCAACTATCCCGGCCATGTGCCTCTCACGAAGCTCGAGCGACTCGGTATGGCAATCGGGTCCAGTGCCATGGCACTGATCAATCCCTACCGTGCCGGTATGCAACATATCCGTCATGGCTTCTCTCCCGAGCTTCTGTACCTAACATGTTTAGACCTCATCGCGCAAGTGGGCGAATCCACCGCGACACCATACTTCATCTACCGCCTCCGCGACGCCATGCTTGCCGACCCAACCGGTCGCCGCATCCTCCGCCTCCGGCCCCGAATCACATCCAAAACCCTCTCCATGTCCTATCTCCGCTCCCTCCCCGAGAACACCGTCGGCCGCACCTACGTGGGCTGGCTCGACCGCGAGGGCGTATCGCCCGACACCCGCTCCGAAACCCGCTACATCGACGACGAAGAGTGCGCATACGTCATGCAGCGCTACCGCGAATGCCACGACTTTTACCACTCCATCACCGGCTTGCCTATTGTTCGCGAAGGCGAAGTTGCTCTCAAGGCGTTTGAGTGGGCCAATACATTGCTGCCCATGCCGGGCTTGAGCATGTTTGCGGCCGCGACCATGAAGCCGCAGGAGAGACAGCGCTTCTGGGACATTTACCTGCCCTGGGCGTTGCGGAATGGATCCAGAAGCAAGGAGGTGATTAATGTCTTTTGGGAAGAGCAGCTGGAGCGGGATGTCGAGGAGCTGAGGGGGGAATTGGGCATTGAGCAGCCTCCTGATCTGAGGGCGATACGGAAGGCCGCGAGAGAGGAGAAGAAGAGATTGAACGAGATCAAGGCCAAGGGCATCTAAGTGTATCATATCAGAGCTGCGTTTTTTGTTGGAGTATTTTGCATAGTAAGCGCTTGTTTCAAATAGACATGGACTTGTCCCGTTGTATCAACCAAACCACAGTGGCACAAATCCACGCAAGAGAATCAGTACGAATCACCCGCAGCATCAAACGAATTGATTGACAAAAAATCATGGTATCGTAAGTATAATCCAGGCCGGGTTTCATCTCGCGCACAATATTCTCTTTTGCCCCTTCACAAGTCCAACAGGTCGTCGTCGTCGTCGTCCCAGCCCTTCCGTCTGCTCACCACAATCTTCTCCTCCTCCTTGTTATCCGCCATCGCATTCAGCAGCTCCTTCAGCTGCGTCTCAGTGACCTTCTGCCTCAGCTGGCCCGTCTGCGCCAGCGTGATCAATCTGTTCTCGATATCCGTCGCACGCTGCTCCTTCACGAGCCTGATGCGGCCCAGGCGGTCGGCGGCCTCGGGGTGCAGAATCTGATTCAATATGTGCTGGCGAGCATCATCTTGCTGTCTAAACATCCACAAGAAGGGTTAGTGCGCTGGGCCCGGTCGTCAGGGGGAACATGTGGGATGTGGGAGACGTGCTGTTTTTGGCGTTCTTGGTCCTGGCCGCCGTTGTTGGATGATGGGCCACCGCTGCTTGCGCCGGACTGCGCCTTGAGCTGCTCGAGGCGAGCCCTTCTGATCTATCGCGAGCTAGTTAGATGGGCTTGCAACGGAAAGGGGTACGAAGCAGAGGTACCTGCTCGAGTTCGGAGTCGTCCATGGTGACTTGTTTGGATTGGAGATGGTTCGAGGTAACGGCGGGGCAAGCTTGCTGCTGGAGGTGCAGCCTAGATAGCTTCAGTGGGCATCACGTGAGCACAGTAGAAACAATTCAACGAAACGCAAAATGACGGACTGGGCGAATAATGACGTTGTTTAGCAGCCTGTTAGGTAGGTGACCCTGTTTTTGGTACGGTATCTTCAGGCAAGACATGCTGGCAAGTCACGGAATAGTTGGCTAGGCTCGACTAGACTTCACCATTGAAAATGTAACCCTTTATACACGCCCTTGCTATGCTGAAATACATAATAAAAACAATACAGCTATTGTACAGCCATCACCGTGGCATTGTCCTATATCTGAATGCCAAATGGCTCGGTATGGATGTCTCCTCCACCGGTATAAATGAGTTGAGTCGCTCGATTGCTTGAGAATGCTTCGCCTTGATCATATCGCGCATCATCAAATTCATGTGCAGGTCCAATCCTAGCTTCTGACCACGGCGCAGAAAATATCCATTCAAATACTCCACGTCTGTTGGTAATCCGTTCTCAATTCGCCTCACCAGCTGGCTTGGCTGTGATCGCTTCCCCATTATTCTGCTGTACATAAACTTTCGAATGCCCTTGCTTTGGACATAGTCTCTGATAACTGTGGATCCTTCTAGTTCCGGCATGCTTTCGAGAACTTGGATTATCTCGGACAGTAAACTATGCATCATGCGTTGTGCCGCTGGGTTTTGCAGCAAGCCTTGGTATGGCATCTCCAGGAGCACACATACAGGCTCAACGACAGAATCGAAGATGACTGTAGGCAGCTTAAATCGAAGCCATTGGTCAAACGGAGTCAGTGTCGTATGTAGGTCCTTTGCTTCTTCTAATGTCTTGACAAAATTCGGTCGCGACTCGACTTTGTGCATATCCTTGACGCGCATACGAGGCGCCTCGGCAAAGGTCAACTTTGTTTGGCCTTGCTTGAGCTGGGTAACTGAGTCGTAGGTTCGATTAAAGGCCAGGCGGTGGCTCATGTGGCCTAGCAAGAAGTTTGGTGCGACATCCGATCCCTCAAAAATCTTCTTCCTCACATCCTCCAGCACACCAAGCCCATCATTCATCAAACATACTGTAGTATTTCCATCGATTCGATTTTTCACCGACTGTAGAGCCTCTACAGCTTCTTGACCTCGGCCTGATACCACGAGCTGGTCAATCCGTGAATCATCGCTCTGGGTAATGGCCCGAGGCATAGCGAGGTTGGCTTCGACGTTGACAGCTGACCGTCGGTTGTGAGGACGGACTTTCTGGATGTTTCGATATTTTGAGGAAGGGCTGCTTCTCCATCCAAGCATTTCGACGGAATCGTATACGCTTGACAACGCATGGGCAATAAATTTGGACCGTTCATCGTCGCCCAAAATATGAATTTTGTGTACAGTCGCTGAGTTTGCCGCTTCCTTGGGGAGCAGCACGGAAGGTACGTAGAACTGAGGTGTTGGCCGCGGCTTGGCTATTGATGGCTCGGGCTGAGATGAGATCGACCATGGCCGTTGTAGCGGGTTTGCTGTACTGCTCGGAGGCGCCGGCTCGCGCGATTTGCGTCCATCAGTGCTCGAAGCAACAGTGCCGTAACGACACCTGGCCACCCGGCCATCACAGGGACTACCTCGGATACATGATGTGTATTTCTGAGATATCCGTGCGGATAACCGCAAATTTCTTAGTCCAGCCACCTTGAAGGCTATTATGAGAGGCTCGCGAACGTCGCAAGGGGAAGGTGTGGCGAAGGCGGGTGTCCCGAAGAAGTACCCAGCTATCGCTCACATTAGACAATACAACAGGAAAGTAGAATGGATTGTCTTATCGGCTGTCTTGTTGACGGGTCGCAAGCTCGCGTCGAACGTCGAGTTGAGCTCAATCGCTGGAGAGTAGCAAGGCAATGAGGTGATGAAGATCCCGGCCCGAGAAATGATGGAGTTTTCCGGCTCCTTGAAAAATCGCCATCACGTGAGCCAATCAGGAGCCAGCAGTTCCTACTCAGAATAGCCCCATAAATTCTGCAAAACACAGCCTCTGATTTGCCAAGCTCAAACCATC